TCGGCCCTGAACATTCTCGGGTTCTGCGAGTGCTTTAGAGAATTTAAGCCTTTATAAGAATTCTCAACGAGCCGACCCAGCTCACACTAACATAGGTGACCGCATCTATAAAGAGTATCCTACTATACCCCACTTGTACTTGACAAGATATCGACGTCATTAAAAGCAATAGCTTAACCTTTTTAAACGTCGTAGGTTGCACTTATTGCATCATAGGAATAAGATGGAGTTAAAACTCCTAAGTGCTACGATTGTTTAAGTTACACAGAACTGGGTGTCCTATTGAACTTGGTCCGTGGGATCTCCAGTCGCCAAGTTAGGTTTCCGTATAAGGTAACTTAGTTATTTAGGCTTTAGACATATTCCCCTCGATGCACATTTAACTCTCTCACTAGATAAACCTTTAGTAAATGGATCCGCTAGGTTATCTTTGGATTTCACAAAATCAATGAAATATATTCCATTAGAGAGTAAATGCCTCATAAAATTATGTCTATGACAAATATGTCTAGACTTACATTTTAAATTTATGAGCTCCATGCATGCATTGTTGATTGATTATCTTTAAATCGAAAATTCAATTGCATAAGTATATCCCTCAAAGACATATATTAACATATTTAACTTATAGTTAAGCACCTTCACATTTTGATGTATTTGTAGTCAACTTTGTCATTCCATAAACTCCTTATGATAGATATCATTTTTCATTTTTCTCGTGTGGAATTAATTACACTTAATATGTGATTACACATATAAAAATCCCCCCCACAAGTTCTCCGGTAAACTTAAATCGAAAGCATACGAAGCATTCTCATTAATAGCTTCATTTTTGCCAATAACAACCACATTAACCTTAACTAGGTCATTACACAAGCAGTCTTATGAGTGCCTGCTCTTTGAATTGAAGATCACACAATAAAGCAACGCCATAATTTGCCACTATGCAAAATAAATATTCTTGAACTTGATTTTTTGCTTTATCATCACCCTTTAAAGGTGTTACCTTTGAAATCATCTATATTAGATGTTCACTCAAATATTTTTAACAAATGAATCATAAATGTTTAAACCGCAATTATTTAAACAAATGGTTAATTTATGAAATTCTTTACTCAACATATCAATAAAGTGAAACTATTTTCACAAAATAGTAACTACACATTTAACAAAACTTTTGTACAAAACACACTAGATCCACGCGGACTTTATAAAACCAAAAAACATGGTGAATATAGAAAAATCAGATTTACGTAAATCTTATATAAATTCAATAACTTCACTCATATGTATTGAAAATTATAATTAGGTTTTCCGCATACGTTACCAACTGTAAATAGCCAAATTATGTGTACAATGTTCACAAAGAGACACATAGTTTGGTAAATAGACATTTATGTAAAACTAGTGTCGGTTGTTTTCCTCAAACTCAAACTGATTTATTTATTTATTTATTTTTATTTAAAAAAAAATCCATAACAAAAAGACACAACAATAACTTAAACAAAATAATTAATGATTATCTTATTTCAACAAATACTTAATGTCACAAGCATGTGGCCACTTGCCAGATGTCTTATAAACATAATTGAGCGTTAGCAACTAGATTCTATATGAAGGTCTCCACCCAAGTGAAATTATTATTCAACCTAGCTAATAATTTACCGTAATTTCTCACAAGGCATAGCATAATTTACTTGAACATGGATTTTTCTACGCAAAAGGAAAAACCAAATTCTGTGCAGACTTCCAATATAAAACATGATATACGCAGAAAGTTTAAAACTAGAAACAAAATATTGTCTTAAGATTGTTGGAATAATTATAACAATCAACGTAAATAATTAAATAAGAATTACACTTATTTGGAAGTAGAAATTAACCGGAAATATGAAGAACGAAAAATCGACTGAGGCTTGCAAAAGCATTGTCCTTAAGACAATATTTCCGGGCTGTCTACGGTGCAACAGTCACTCCCGATAGTCTCCCAAGATACAACAGTCGGATACTTCGATATTTGCACAAATTCGAAGCCCACGGCGAACTAGAAACGTAGGAACGAAATTTTGACAGAAGAGTTTTAGGAAGAAATTCACAAACGTCTTATTATCTCTTGTGCAAAACTGATCAGGTTTTGTCTTATTTATAGAAATTTAAGAGTCCTTTTGTGAAGGGATATGTTGTTTCGAAAAGAGTTATTTCATAAATAGATGTGTTGTTTGGAAAGAAACCCATTCATTCCAAACATGCACCTATTTGAAATACCCTAATTATTTTATTCAATTAAAAATTCCAACAATGAGAAGGGCCTCAAGTTGCAATTTCCATGAAAGATAGTTGGTGGAGGTTAATTTGATGATATTAGAGGCTGAGATGTTGATAATGGTGAACGGTTTGGTGGGTTCTTGGGTATTTGGGAGAAGAACAGGCGCATTATCATTGGCCATGAGAGAGGAAAATAAAATAAAAGAGATCAGGCGTGGTGGTGAAGAGAGGGGAATATGTTAGGATCTTTGCTGTGATACCATGAGAGAAGAAGAGAGAAGAATAATTTCTTACGCTTCATTATTGCAAACTAGATATATATAATTTACATAGTGCAATCTATTATAAATATATTCTAACTAATAATAATCCTAAATACACCAAAAAGATTACAAAAGATTACGTAAGATTACAATGAATTAAAATAATAATATTGATCTAGTTTCCTAAATATGTCTAACACCAACTAGAAGAACTGATCTTCTCTCACTCCTCTCAAACCCTAATTTCACCTAAATCCACGAATGAAAGAACAAATCAAGCACTCAAGCTTACACACTCACCAAAATCCCTTTTCAGAGCTCACAACAGAGAAACGGAAGTATTTAGGTCAAGTATAGGTTTTGGATCTGATTTTTAATTATCCTCTTCCAGCCTCCATGCCCATATATATATAGAGGCATAAGTCTAATATAGCCAGTGAAGGCTGTATTGGAGAATCAAAGTCAGCCATGTATCATGGATTTTGACTCCAGTCATGACAAAGTCAAGGCAGTACAAGGGAGGAAGAAGACAGAAGCAAGAACGGCAAAGAAAAAGAGAGATTAGGATTTTCAGGAAAGAGAGAAGTGAGGAGAGAGAGAAGAGAAAGGTATTTATGTGAAGCAATGAACGATCAGGATTAACCACTAAAATCCAATGGATAGATCAAATATATATCAGATCTGGGCTCACTTACCCCTTCTTGGGCCTCTCATGGTGGTGTATGGATAATGTAGTAATTGAGCTTCTCGCCCATCACATATTTGGGCCAAAAATCCAACACATACACTCCGAATTCGAATTTGGGAGCCAGCACCACCATGAAGAAGAAAACGAAATAAACAAAGGAGAAGGCTACACAAATTCTGCACTCGAAACCCTTGTCGAAAAAAAAATGTTTTCAAGATGGAATTAGCAGAAATGGTGGTTTGGCTCAACATTTTTTTTTTTTTTGAATTTTCAGGATTGAATTAGAGATATGGGGAGGGGCAGATTGAATTTGATTCTGCAGTTATGGTGGTGGTGCGGCGAGAGATCAGGATGGTGGTGGTGTCTGATTTGTGAGAAGATGATGAGCATTTTTTTTCTTTTTTCTTGTTTCTTTTTTTTCTAAAAAATGTGTCATTTGGAAAAATTTCCCCTTCATTTTCACGTGTGTATCGCACATGTGTACACTCACGGCACTTTTTGGCCGAAATGGACTTTTAAGTCGATGTTGCAACAAATTAGTAAGTACATGCATGGCCGTGCAATTTTGTTTTTGTTTGGGAGGCGAAATGTAGTTACCCCTTATTATTAATTGCACTATATATCATAATCGGTGCAATATATTGCCCACCTTTGTGAACATGAACCCTCGATCTCACAATATAGGGAAATTTTGAATGGTTTTCAATTAATTCTTTTCACACCTATATCAAATTTGAATCGTCCACCTTGCATTAATGCTGAACTTGGTTCTAATAACGATAAATTCAGTATTAAGAGCCGAATGCTGAATCCATATTTGAATTTGTAAGAGTGGTATTTGAATCACAGGTAAGTACGTTTGATAATTGAATGTTAATAATGTTTGAATAGTATTATTTTTCTATATAATATTAAGAATTGTTGATTACGACACTACTTTGCAGCCGGGCCCACTTAGTTTCCCCATTCCGTCGATTGCTGCTGAATTCACCACCGACAACCAGATGATTATTTACGCCACCGTTCAACTTCCGGCGGGGAGAACCAGTTTAATTTACTCATGTTTGGTAGAACGGCGTCGTATCTGGTAACACCCCTCAGCGCCACCGTACAACTGGGGACAATATGAGATCTTCCGCCACTATAGATTTCGCCACCTCAAACACCATGTGCAGCCGGTACCGGAGGATCAAGGCATCGTAATAGAAACGTGAGATATTTCTTTCTTTACTCAATTTCTTTTATTTCATTTAGTACCCCTCTTTTATGTTCAATTATTAATAAAGTGCCCCGCCTATTTTTAATATTATCAAAAAACAACGTGTAATCTATTAGAAACGTGAGATATTTCTTTTATAATTTTATTTCATTCAGAACCCCTGTTTTATATTCAATTATTTAAGTAGTCCCCCGCTTATTTTTAATATTATCACAAAACGTGTAATGCATTAGAAACGTGAGATATTTCTTTTAGTACCCCTATTTTATGTTCAATTATTAAAAAAGTCCCCCGCGTATTTTTCATATTATCAAAAACCAACGTATAATGTATTAGAAACGTGAGATTTTTCTTTTATTTCATTTAATACCCCAGTTTTATGTTCAATTATTAAAAAAGCCCCCCGCCTATTTTTAATATTATAAAAACCAAGGTGTAATGTATTAGAAACTTGAGATTTTTCTTTTATTTTATGTAGTACCCCTGTTTTATGTTCAATTATTAAAAAAAACCCCAGCCTATTTTTAATATTATAAAAAGACAACACTGAGATATTTCTTTTATTTCATTTAGTACCTCTGTTTTATATTCAATTATTAAAAAACGCCCCCGCATATTTCTAATGTTATCAAAAAACAACGAGTAATGTATAAGAAACGTGATATTTCTTTTATTCCATTAGTACTTCCTTTTTATATTCAATTATTAAAAAAGTCCCCCGCATATTTTTAATATTATTGAAAAACAACGTGTAATGCATTTGTTTTACCAAACAACTCCCTAAATGGTGAGGTTTCAGTAAATTTCCAGGTCGGATCGGAATCAAAACTTTTAGAAAAAAACCAATTTCAATCCGTTAAAAAAACTTGAAGAAACCTGAAATCAAATTGAATTGTTTTGGATCAGAATCAACGAAAATTGGAAATTACGTTCCAGTTTCCACCACTAGTTTTGAGTGGTTTGCTCAAAATTGCATTACAAGAGTTTTTTCCCTCGTAGTAATACCACGAGAAGTATATATTGACATGTGTTATTCTATCTCCATATTTGAATTTGTCTTAAGCCACAAAAAAAGGGGAAATATAGATGAATACACCATTGGGTTACAAAAAGCATGTTCAACCACAAAACTATAAACAGTCAATATTAATGGATTAGTGGTACAAACACATCTCATTGCTTTGAAGAAACCATTATATATTCATTGCAAATCATTTCTACTAAGAACATCATAAGTTCTATTGAACAAATAAAACACACAAACATCATCAACTATATTCATAAATATGGAAATAAAACTCTTTTTTTCCGCAGTTCTATTGGTATTTTTACCATTCTTGGCGTATCACGCCGAATCTGTCACAGTCTTCGATATCTCAAAATACGGTGCAAAACCCGGCGGTGAAGACATCAGCCCGGTACGAACACACAAATAACATCAATATATATTATTTTTAGATGTATATAGAATGCATTATATACACGAGTCCTAATAATTATATATCAATCATTTGAATTATATGTACGTATGTATGCATGTATGACATTTGTTATCGTACAAAAGGTTCTAGCTAAGGTATGGAAGGAAGCATGTGAAGCGACAAACGCAAGCAAAGTATTGATTCCAAAAGGGACATGGTATCTTAGCCAAATTAGATTGGTCGGCCCGAATAAGGCTCCATTGGAGCTTGAAGTACAAGGCACCGTTGAAGCCAATCCCGATTACACTAAATTGCCCCAAAAAGATGGTCAATGGATTACTATCAATTATCTCGATGGCTTCACCATCTCCGGTGGCGGTGTCTTTGACGGAAAGGGCGAACAAGCATGGAAGGCAAACGATTGCCACAAGAATCCAAATTGCCCCAAACTCCCCATCGTACGTCTATCGATCCGATCTTTACATACATTACATCATCGCTATATCTCAATCCACTTGATATTTCACTTTTTTAAGTATATTACTAATACAAATTATTGCATGCATGTATGTAATTATTATTTATCAGAACCTTAGCTTGAATTTCATCAAGAACGCCATAATCAAAGACGTGACCACAAAAGACAGCAAGAATTTCCACTGCAATTGCATATCGAGCCAAAACGTGACTTTCCAACGCTTCACAATCAGCGCACCGGGCGAGAGCATCAACACTGACGGGATCCACATCGCCAGAGTATCGAATGTCAAAGTACTCGATTCCAATATAGGAACGGGAGACGATTGCATTTCTATTGGAGATGAGACCACTGATCTCCACATCGAGAATGTCAAATGTGGGCCCGGACACGGCATCAGCGTTGGAAGCATGGGTAAGAATCCGGCAGAGAAGGACGTCACAGGAATTACAGTAAAGAAGTGCACATTCACCGGAACAAGCAACGGCGTGAGGGTAAAGACATGGCCCAATGCACCGGCAACCCTAAAAATATCGAATCTGCATTTCGAAGACTTGACAATGAACAATGTCAGCTATCCTGTCGTCATTGATCAACAATACTGCCCATGGAATCTCTGCACCAAAGACGTAAGTGTGTGTGTGTGTGTGTATATATATCCATTATATATCTCTAATTTCTAGTTATATGATTAATAATCTTGTATATATATCGATAATGTAATTTGCATGCATGGAATAAATATATATTGCAGAAACCATCGTTGATCCAAATCAGCGGATTGACGGTGAAGAATGTGAGGGGGACAGCGAACACGAAGGAGGCGTTGTTATTTTCTTGCAGTTCAAGCAAGCCATGCCAGAATGTTCAGATTAGTGATATTGATCTTAAATATGTTAACTCAATTCCCGCCAATTTCACCACTGTCTGCGAGAACGTGAAGCCCACTGTTTCCGGAAAGCAGATCCCGCCAATTTGCCCAACCCCTGTTCAGGCTTCTTAAATCCTTCGTGTACATGCATGCACAATTTTGGAGAGTCTTGTATTTTTATTCTAGGATATATTTGGAATAAGTTAAATAGATGATGATGATCTATTACTTATTTTAACGTTAGGAATTTTGAGATGTATATGTTAGGCAGTATCATGCTCGATCATTGAGTATTAACTCATTTTTGTATCGTGGCATTATGGAATAAAATTAGATATTTTTTTTAATTTATTTACAATGATTTCATTTTTTTAGTTTGCGGTTTATTAACTCAAGAATTTGTCATATTATATTAAGGGTAAAGTTCATTTTGCCCATCTAAACAATAAACAAAAAAAACCTTCATCAACTTCAAAATGAATTAAAATAAACCTTCCAAATTTTGGCTCAACGTTAAAAATCGTAAAAAAGTTAACTTCGCTACTTTTTAAGTAGTTTTACATTTTTGCCCCAGTCATATATATTATCGCTCCTATACCTTTATTTTGTATTTGGGTTTCTGCTGTGGCGGTGGCCGGAAAAGATGAAATCAAGAAAAAATATGATTTCAGTAATTCGAAACCACTGCAGCTCCCCGGCGGAATCCGACGATAGCCCCTTTAATTTGTTGCTCTGCAATAACTTGCCAAAGTGATATGTACCATTCCATTTCGGAGTGCACCGTGCATTGGCTTGTTTTGCATGGAGCCCGCAGTAGAGGGTAGGCGAGAGAATAGTACTCACGGAGCTGTGGAGTCTTTTCCTTTCTGTGGCTCTCTAATTCACTGAATATGTTAGTCGAAAGGTTACTTTCGAATGTGATGTGATACGGCTAATAATTCTTAAGTTAGTGAAAAAATTGTTAGAATTTATTTCGTTCAGATATTAAATTATTTGTGTCAGATTCAGTTTTTCGTTACTGTTGCGTGAAGTGTTGCAACAGTTCGTGAAGCAGTTCGTAAAAACAGAAATAAACGACACACAAATTTTAATGTGGTTCGGATACAATTGTACCCTACATCCACGGGGACCTGCAACTAAAATTTACTAATTTTTAGTTTTACGAATACAATAATAGGACTTAATCAAAATACAAAGACTCCCTCTTTGTTGACGCCGTTCTCGTATACTACGCTGAATTATAAATCTTCAATTTGCAGCACGTCCCTTGCTCCGCACGGTTGAACTCCCTTCAACGTTGAATCCCTCAGTCGGCGGATCGACCTCCTCCCGAGATCTGTTTAAGCCCCTCTCCCGAAGAACCGATCTTCTTTTTGTATAGAAGAAGCAAACTTGTGATACTCCTTGAATCTTGGTGTCTTCACCACAAAGCCTTGAAGCCGGTATATTTTCTAAGAAAAATCACGTATCACGATGGAGCAATAAAAATGAAAAAAAAAATATTTCTCTGAAATCTTCTCTCGATGAAAAAGACGCTCCGGGAGCAGCAAAAATAAGAGCAGAAAAATATATTTTTTCTTCTCCAACAAAAGGCGTGCAACAACAACCAAGAAAAGAGAGATCGGCTTCTCTCCAAAAAGATGCACGATGAAACGCCGTGCTGTGCTGCTATATATTCTATGTTGAATAAAAGAGCCCTACAAAAGATTAAAGCCCATTAGGTTAATATTCAGTCTTTACGTAAGGGAATAAGAATTGTGTAACAAGGAAAGTCTTTGTCAAGGAAATTCCTTGTTAACACATCACTTACGCAATTAAATAAATTAATGATAAAATAAGAGTTTAAAGCATTAAGGAAACTTCCCTAGCTTTAGACACACGTTTTTCACACACGTGCTGAAAAACCAAAATTAGAATCCTCTCGGATTCTAACAAAAATAATTAGTCAAATTAATCGTAATTCATAAATTATGTTTCCTTGCTCAAATTATCACGTAACAATATTGGTATCAGAGCCGTTACGTTCCGTGGAGGCACGTAACAAATTAGAAGCTGAGGTTAGTAAAAACCTAACTACTCGACACAAATCCAATTTCGACCAAATACACAGGACCCATCACATTGTCCTCACATAACTTAAAGCCCTAAAGGCTTCTAGCAACAATGAATTCAAGTTCCCGAAGGTGATGTTGATCCCTCGACCATGAATGAGTCATCTGAGGCAGTGAAAAACATAGCCATAACTCACACCACTTCAAATCTTGTTCCAAATACAAACCTCAATTTGCAATTTTCGAAGTTTATTGTGGAAGTGATGCAGGCCGAAACCCACAACGGAAAAGAGATAGACAACGATAGAGGACCGGGAATCACTCAACCGGCGGCAGCGGACTCACTCGACGCTTCTAATTACGGAATCACTCAACGCGACCAAGTCACTCACTTGTATAAAGAGGAATCACTCACTCTCAATGTAATTAACTTGCAAGATATTTTTGAACTTAAACAATCATCTCTCATTTTATTCATTTATAGGGTGCTTTGGAACATCCCTCCAAAACATAAGAAATTACAACTTTGAATGACTTATCAACTTCTAATTCTAGAAAATTAATAACCTTGACCTTGTATAATGAAATACATAGAATATGACCTGATTAATTGATAACATGATGAATAATTCGAAATTAGACTAATAAGATAAATAAGACACTTAGAAATACCAAAAGACACAAAGCTGTCAATTTTCCCGAGTGCAGCTGGCAGACTCTAGAAAACTGAGCATAACTTATTCTTCAAAACTTTGTTTTGTAAACCATTTTTTTAGTTGGAAACTAGACTTCCAGAGCTTTGTAACCATATATAGCAATAAATCTAACTCTTCAGTTATCGAAACAGGTGATTTTTCAAAGTTGACTGATCAGCAAACACCAATTCTGCATCAGAAAGATATCACTGGCTGGGTTTATCATGCGGAACAGTATTTAACAACCATCCCACCTCTACCGGCGTCTACTCCACCAAAGAAAACCAACATACGTGCCTCTCCACCCACTACAGTGAACACTAAGCCAACTGCTATTATTTCAAACTTTTCTCCACCCTTCTTCACAACAACAACTGGTCAAGAAGCCCGCAAACGAATAGAGCAAGACTTGCGTTTCGACTACGACGAAAAAATAAAACTAGGTCATCGTTGCCAACAACCTCAAGTGTGCATGATTGAGGATATGCCATTTGAGGATTTCCAACTATCCGATCCACCAAACTCCCAAAACGATCCGCCTATACACATATCAACATTATATCCTTGAGGACAAGGATATACGGAGCGGGCGAGAATGGTACGGATAATAATTCTTAAGTTAGTGGAAATAGTCAAATTAAATTAGGGGTTACTGGTTGAGTTATTAGAGTTAGTTTTCAATTGGTTTCATGAAGATAGGTGTTAGTTGCTATTGATCTCTTGCTTGAATTTTAGGAGCACCTTCTGTATAGGTTTAGAGGGTAGTTTTATTTTCATCGGTAACTCTTATAAATTATCAAGCAAATTATCTTCCTTTATATTTTCGTAATTCTTAAATTATGTATCATTGCTCAAATTACCACGTAACATATGTTACGATTTACAAACAATTGTAATTTTGCTTTAAGCCATGTTTTTATTAGACCAACTTAATCGAGACAAAATTAATTAAGACTGGAGCGACAGAAATCATAACAGGCTTGATGTCCTCGAATTAGTCTGAGAACGAGATTCGAACGATCATCTACATGACTTCCTAGTTTCGCTCCAAATTCTTCTTTCTTTGATCAAATAATAAACCCAATTTATTTACTCTTTATTTTTGAAAATTATTCCTTTATAAAATGATCATTTATTTTCGAAAACAAATTTCTTTTATTTGAAAAATATTTAAAAAAAGGTCAGCTGAGATTTGAGAGAAAAGTTATTGGCAGCAACAGCCTTCCTGTGTAATGTCTTATAGCTAAAAGAAACACTTATGTTAATATAATTAGCACAAACCCCCATATGTAGTGTTTTGTTTAGTTCACCGCTCCTTTCATATTGGCTTGTTCACTTAATTGAAATGACATATTTACCCCTAACTAAAAAATAAAGCAAAAATACATAAAGTACTTAAAAACACATCATCATCTTCTTCATTCCTCATCACATCCTCCGCTACTGTCGCTGCAAATGGTCTGTCGGAGGCGCCCACCAGCTCATTTCCTTCTAGCACTTAGTTCCCAGCCCTGACACATGCAACTTCCACGGTGTTTCTTGAAAAAAGGAGACTCTTCGCCATTGATTTGATCTTCTGAGAAACCATGGCCCGAAAAATCCGAAGAAATAATCGACAATGCCTCTGCTTCCAAGAACGGCCGCTGCCATTGCACGAAAACGAAGATGGTGGAAGAAAACTCACTTTTTGGGCCTCCATTTTCACCGCCCGGTCTCACAGCCCACAGCCGCACACCTCCGCCGCGGGAAGGGGCAGACTTAATTGGGATAAGAGCGACCAATCATCGGCCGTCCCCACTCCAATTGCAAACTCACGTCTAGCTTGCGGTTGTGGGAGGCAGATGTGAAAGATGTGGTGGTGGTGGGGTGGTGCATGCAGAAGGGTGGAGGCACTGCTTGGTGGTGGTGAGAAGCGGCGGAGGACTGAGGTGGGTTTTTTTTTGGGTTTTTTCCCGTTAGCAATTCAGTCCCCTGACTTTGGAGAAGAGGGCTTTTCTGAAACTTCAAGGGACTGAATTGAAAAAAATGAAAACTTTATTTGGGGCTTATTTTTGAAATTTATAATGTAAAGGGTAATTGGGTCTTTTCACGTCAAAAAATCGAACCCCAATCGCATATTTGGCGAGACGACCAACTCGTAGGGGCCTTAATGTCGTTGGCTATGTAACACAAGGGTTATGTACTAATTGTTTTAACATAGGGGTTTTTTTAGCCATGGAACATTACACAGGGGTGCCGGATGTTAAAACCTCTTTGAAAGAAAATATCCATGAGACCTTATTTGTCCTAAACTAGATTTTGGAGGCAAAATGATTTTTAAAATGTTCCTAAACTCTCCGGCTTGATAAAAGTAAATAGGATACTGAAGAATATCGATTCACCTGGAATATACGTTGCTCATATATTCGTTAACCTATTGGAGTTTCGATTTCTGTAGAGCCTAGCTAGCTAATAGTTTAGAATTTACAAAGAATGGTGAAAAGAGGAGATTTCAGTTAACCATATGACTCGAGACGCAACTAAAGTACAAACTACTTACTCGTTCGATCGGAGAGTTGCTATTGTCCGATGGAAAGCAATCAAGCATGACGTGATAAGCCCAGTTGTAGTAGCTCATCAGTTCTACCATGCATGCATATCTAATATAGCATCTGGCTACACCAAGTTATAATATGCTGTCAACTTCTGATGGGTACACCACCAATTTTACCCCAAAAATCTCTTCAATAAAGTTTAAAAGACTTTAGTAAAATCAAAATAAGTGGTGTCCATAAGAAAAATAATTCTTGTATACGTTTCAAACATTTTTCCTCTAATTTAAGCAAAAATAAATTGTTTTGTTTGTATGATAAATTATTATGTGATCTGCAAGAAACTAGTAACATCTTCTCCATGTCTAAATTTATTATTATTATTATTTTATTTTTTTGTTGGAGGGGGTGGAATGAAGCTGACACCATTGGATTACAAAAAACATGTCCAACCACAAAACTATAAATAGTAAGTAATTGGATTAGTGGTACAAACACATCTCATTGCTTTGAAGAAACCATTATATATTCATTGCAAATCATTTCTCCTAAGAACATCATAAGTTCTATTGAACAAATAAAACACAACATCATCAACTGTTCTTCATTATGGAAATAAAACTCTTTTTTTCCGCAGTTCTATTGGTATTTTTACCATTCTTGGCGTATCACGCCGAATCTGTCACAGTATTCGATATCTCAAAATACGGTGCAAAACCCGGCGGTGAAGACATCAGCCCGGTACGAACACACAAATAACATCAATATATATTATTTTTAGATGTATATAGAATATATTATATGTACGAGAGTCCTAATATTATATATCGATCATATGAATCATATGTACGTACATATATATATGCATGCATATGACATTTATTATTGTACAATAGGTTCTAGCTAAGGTATGGAAGGAAGCATGTGAAGCAACAAATGCAAGCAAAGTATTGATTCCAAAAGGGACATGGTATCTTAGCCAAATTAGATTGGTCGGCCCGAATAAGGCGCCATTGGAGCTTGAAGTACAAGGCACCGTTGAAGCCAATCCAGATTACACTAAATTACCCCAAAAAGATGGCCAATGGATTACTATCAATTATCTCGATGGCTTCACCATCTCCGGTGGCGGTGTATTTGACGGAAAGGGTGAACAAGCATGGAAGGCAAATGATTGCCACAAGAACCCAAACTGCCCCAAACTCCCCATTGTACGTCTATCGATCTTTACATACATTACATCATCGATATATCTCAATCTTATAAGTATATTACTAATACAAATTAAATTATTGATGCATGCGTGCGTGCACGTTATTATGATTTCTCAGAACCTTAGCTTGAATTTCATCAAGAACGCCATAATCAAAGACGTGACCACAAAAGACAGCAAGAATTTCCACTGCAATTGCATATCGAGCCAAAACGTGACTTTCCAACGGTTCACAATCAGCGCACCGGGCGAGAGCATCAACACAGACGGGATCCACATCGCCAGAGTATCGAATGTCAAAGTACTCGACTCCAATATAGGAACAGGAGACGATTGCATTTCTATTGGAGATGAGACCACTGATCTCCACATCGAGAATGTCAAATGTGGGCCCGGCCACGGCATCAGCGTCGGAAGCATGGGTAAGAATCCGGCAGAGAAGGACGTCACCGGAATTACTGTAAAGAAGTGCACATTCACCGGAACAAGCAACGGGGTGAGGGTAAAGACATGGCCCTCTGCACCGGCAACCCTAAAAATATCGAATCTGCATTTCGAAGACTTGACAATGAACAACGTCAGCTATCCTGTCGTCATTGATCAACAATACTGCCCATGGAATCTGTGCACCAAAGACGTACGTGTGTGTGTGTGTGTATATATATCCATTATATATCTCTAATTAATTTCTTGTTATATGATTAATAATCTTGTATCTATATCGATAATGTAATTTGCATGGAATATATTGCAGAAACCATCGTTGATCCAAATCAGCGGATTGACGGTGAAAAATGTGAGGGGGACAGCGAACACGAAGGAGGCGTTGTTGTTTTCTTGCAGTTCAAGCAAGCCATGCCAGAATGTTCAGATTAGTGATATTGATCTTAAATATGTTAACTCAATTCCCGCCAATTTCACCACCGTTTGCGAGAATGTGAAGCCCACTGTTTCCGGAAAGCAAATCCCGCCAATTTGCCCCACCCCTGTTCAGGCTTCTTAATTCCTTGCATGGTGTGTACATGCATGCATGCATGCACAATTTTGGATTAATATTTTTTTTCTTTTCTTAAAGGATATATAATGTGGAATAAGTTAAAGATAGAGATGATGATGATATATCAGGTATTAAATTTAGGAATTTTTGAATGTGAGATCTGTTAGGTATTAGTATAGTATCAATCATGCTCGATCATTAAGTAAATCCTTTTTGTATCGTGGCGTTATGGAATAAAAATAGAATATTATTTTAATTTATGTAACATGAAATCATTTTTAAGCTTGCAGACTTGCAGTTTATTTATTCATGGAGTTTGTTATATTAATTTTATGGACTCATTCTCCTATCAACAAAAAAAAAAATTAATTAGAAAACTAGGAAAAAAACAACAGAGTAAAAAGAGAATTGAATGAACAATACAGAGATAATCAAGTATGTAGTAGAAGAAAGACAAAAAAAGGGACTTAAAACTCTTTTAATTAATTATATTAGTGATGTTTTATGTGATGGTATCTCTTCATTTTTGTACATCACATAAATATTTCTTTACAAAAAGTTAGTAATTTCTTGAATATTAATAAATTCGGCCAGGAATTAGAGTTGACAGCTATTAATTATATATGTGATCGATCGATCCGAAGCCACAATACACCACCAGCCAATCCCAAGCATCCTCGCCGCTGCCGTCGCCGCAGTCAAATTGGGTCTCACTCAAACTCCAATAGGAAATTAATACTAATTGGTAGAGCTACCTTTAGTTCATGATTTCTACTGGTTCAGCAATAATATTATCAACGCTTCTCTCCCTTTTTTTTTTTTTTGTTTTTAAATCTTGTATCAAGAATTTATTTAACGTGATTTGGGCCTATATATTATTCAAGAGCTAATTGCACAAACACACACACACAACCACCCCCCCACCCCATAATCTCGAATGGTCAAAACAACCCTCATATTAAAAAATTAGCAAGAATTCCCTTATGTTATCTTCTACGAAGCACACTGCCCCTTATGCACGAAATAAATTCTGACAACAAATGTACCCACCGCGGCAATAGCCATATATAGCGACCATAACTAGGGGAGAGAGAGAATATATATGTTGGAGAAACGTGAATATAAATGTTACATTATACTTGGAGTAAATTACACATACACCTTTGAGGTAGGCTAAAATAACTTTAAGGTCCCTGTGGTATTGGTAATTACAACCACAGTCTGAAGTAATTACCGAAGCCAAGATTTCATATCCTGGGGACCAATATATATTTATTTTCCTCGGAGCCGTTACTGCTACCATAGACGAAAATTTATAATTATTATATAAAATAATAAGGATTTAATAAATATTGCGGGAGCCATGTCACACTCTAGCTCTATATTATCTCCACCACTTCTTGAAACTACTAGTCTGTTAGAACTTTAACTGGATATAAAACTTATCCAATGCATTATTTCGTTAGGATTTCTAATAATGTTTTAGAGGGTCATTGTAGTTATCAATATATACTATAAAGGCCTTAAAATTATTTAGAATATCTTAGGGGTGTAGGTGTAATTTACCTTTATATTTATGCATGGTTTAATTAAGGAAGTTAGTGAGAAATAATAATTTAGTGATGTGGGTTATATTATGTTTTGAAATAGGGATGTATTCAAAAAATTTAGTTTGAAGTTTTAGATCTAATTAGGTTTGATTTGAGGCACATAGCCAGCATATTAACAACCCCTAATATATACCTTATTAAACCTCTCTAAGGGTAAATTACAAAAACCTCTCTCTTGTTTGGGTAATTACAACCAACCCCTTCAACTATAAATATTTTTTACACGTCCACCCTTGGGAATTTAAACTTAATGGAATCTTCTATATTATATAGAATATTATCAATTTTGTACCCGTTTTATGCCATTTGAGCTCTATATTTTGAAACAAGATGATCATAAGATGTGTTTTTTGGTTGTATATATCAGATTTTAGTGCACCAAAAACTGTATTTTTGCACACGAACGAGTACAAACTAGCTGTAACAACAAATTTTTATCTGCGATATAAACAAACAAGAAAAATTGAACAAAGATGATTTTATTGAATTAAATAAATAAATTGCGGGTTACAATCTCTATTTTAATCCTCTGATTCTTCTCTCTAGAACAATATATAGTTGACTTGAATTTTCGGAGTCGGGTCGTTGACTTGATCTTCTCCAGATTTGATTTTGGATTTGAATAACGTTTTCCAAGGGTCTCGCGACTTGAATCTCGGATCGAACGTTGAACTTTGACTAAATTTGACTTGAAGATCTTGAAGTTCTTGATGGATTTGGCCCTTCAATCTTCCAATGATCTTGACTTAAATTTGATTAACGTTAATCCGAAGGTTTGGCACCGTTATCTCGGATCAAACGCTGGATTTGATGAAGAATGCCTTGAATTTGCTCAAGAACACCTCGAATTTGACGAAGAACACTTTGAATGTAGAGAGAGAATCTTACCTCCTACGAATTCTTCTTCCTTGTTTCTTGAATTGTAGAGAGAATTTTGCTCCTACGGTTTCTGCCAAGGTTGTCAGAATCGGACCGGATCGGCCGGTCCGACCGGTTCGACCGCGACCCGGCACTTTGGCGGTCTGGTTCAATACTGAAAACCGGAGAAATAAAAAACCGGGGTCAGAGAGCAAAACCGCCGGTTCGATCGGAAAAACCGGAAAACCGGAAACTGGTGGAAGACCCCGGTTTTTGTCTAAAATGGTGCTTTTGAGATCTTGGATGGCCGGATCTGGGCTGTAACGGCCGGTGAAGGCCGGATCTTGGGGTGAAAGCCGATCAACATCGATCAAAACCGGATCTAGTGATTATGCGCCGGAAATGAAGAGAAATGTAGAGAAGGAAATCGGAAAGGGAAGAAGGAAGAAGAACAATAAGGGGGCGGCCGCTGCTTTGAAGATGTACAGAGGAGAGAGAGAGAGAGAGAGAGAGAGAGAGAGAGAGAGAGGGGGAGAAGAGAGAGTTTCGGGAAGGGGAAGGAAGTGTACGTTTAAGTCAAGAGAAGAAAAAAGACAATGTTTATTTAATAAATAAAATAATATGGAATAAGGTGGATATTAAAGTAAAAAAGTTGATTAAAATATATAAATAAATAGAGAAAATTGTATTTTTAGTGAAGAAGTGGAAGAAAATATATAAATAAATAGAAAAATAGTAATCTTAAAGTACAAAAAATTATAAATAATTAAAAATTTAAAAAAATTAAAAAACCCGGGTTGAACCCGGTTGAACCGGTCCAACCGTGACCCGAATGCCTAGCCGGTTTTATGTCCGGTCCGGTTCTGATAACATTGGTTTCTGCTCCTTCAGTTGTGTTTTTATTGTGAAGGAAGGGTCCCTATTTATAGTGGTAGAACAAGAGTCCTTGATGGGCCTTACTGATGATGTGGCGCGATTTGATTGGCCCGATTTAAATTGATATTTATCTCTTGTAACTTGGAAGAGAAGAAATAATCCTATTGGCCAATACATATTTAAAATCAATTATCTATTTTAAATTAGGAATTTATTTAATAAAATTCTTAATATAAAAATAGAAAATATATAATTGAAATTTAATATAATATATATATACACGCATATATATATATAGATATATATATATGACTTTGAATGTTTAATTACATATTTGCCACTTGGATAAATTCACTCGGCTCTATGGAAATTAGCAATTTAATTGCTTGAAAATTTATTTGTCTACACTAGCATTCCACGAAATCTAGATGATTATGTTGTTTTTGACACCATAAGGGTGTAGGTGTAAGAAGATTCATAGTTGAGGGGAATAAATATAATTATCCAAGCAGGAGGGTTTTTTTGTAATTTAACCATACCTAAGGGGTGGTTGTAATTTACCCTAAGTTATATAACATCTTCCCGTCAGAATATTCTAACTCTTGGATCCATTAGAATAGTACAATACACACGCATGGCATGAGCCAATCATGTGTTTCGTATGTAAACCAGTACTTCACCTGCCATCAAAATTCAAATCATGCATCTCACAACCCAAAATTGATATTCATCAACATTTTCATTTCCAATTATGATACATATATATATATATATATATATATATATATATATATATATATATATATATATATATATATATATATATATATATATATATATATATATATATATATATATATAATATGTAACATCTTCTCTTGAGAATATATATTCATCTAACAAAAAGAAACTCTACTTCCAATCTCTTTAACTTATATATTCCGCATGCATGCATCGATCATAAACAAAGAAAACCAAGAATGGAAATGTGTTCATGCAGTGGTGGCGCAAATTGGCGGGTTCTGCTTTCCGAATACTCTGGGCTTCACATTTTCGCAGATGGTGGTGAAATTAGCTGGAATTGGATTAACATACAAAAGATCGATATCGCTAATCTCCACGTTGTCACATGGCTTGCTTGCGCTGCAAGACAAAATAATAGCCTCCTTTGTGTTCGATGTCCCCTTTACGTTCTTCACCGTCACTTCGGTGATCTTGATTAGAGACGGCTTCTGCATTATTCCATGCATGCATGCATGTCAGAAAGAAAGAAAGAAACCATTATAATTATTAGAATAGAGATCGAGAATATAATTACGTACGGCTTTATCGCAGAGATTCCACGGGCAGTATTGTTGGTCAATGACGACCGGATTGCTGACGTTGTTCATCACCAGGTCTTCGAAATGCAAACCCGAGATTCTTAGGGTTGCTGGTGCAGAAGGCCACGTCTTCACCCTGACGCCATTGCTGGTTCCGGTGAATGTGCAGTTCTTTACGTAAATTCCGGAGACGTCCCTCTCTGCTGGATTCTTTCCCATGCTTCCGACGCTGATGCCGTGGCCGGGCCCACAGTTGACATTCTCGATGTGGAGATCAGTGGTCTCGTCTCCTATGGAGATGCAGTCGTCTCCCGTTCCGATGTTGCTGTCAAGGACCTTGACCATGGAGGCACGTGCGATGTGGATCCCGTCCGTGTTGACGCTGTCTCCTGGGGCGGTGATTGTGTACCGTAGGAAAGTCACGTTGTGGCTCGCTATGCAATTCGTGTGGAAATTCTTGCTGTCTTTCGTGGTCACGTCTTTGATTATCGAGTTGTTGAGGAAATTGAAGCTCAGGTTCTAATAGTACATATATACATAATAATTCATTACATGCATGCAAAAAAAACAATTAATTGTATCATGTTAATTACAGACATATATATATATATATATATATATATATATATATATATATATATATATATATATATATATATATATATATATATATATATATATATATATATATATATATATATATATATATATATATATATATATATATATTGGGAGTTTGACGCAATTTTTGTTTTTGTGGCAATCATTTCGTTTCCAGGCATCG